CCCCCCCCCCCTAACCCCTCGCCCCCGGCCGAAGGGGCTTAAAACATTTGACTCTTCTAAAAAGACGAAGTGAAAAAAATATATTAATTATTAAAGAGAAAAAAAAATTATGGAGATGGAGCTTTTTCTCACTAGCCAACGGTCACGTAAGCTCACTCACAGGAAGTACTCTCATGCGAAACGAGAGTATGTGCACACCTCGAGAGTTGATGCAACGAGAGGTGTACTTTTAATGTAGGACAAGGCTCCCCCCCCCCTCTAACGCATACAAAGTGAATGGTAGAAATGAAATAAGCAGGCTAAAAAAGCTGTGGAAGTAGTTGAAAAATTACGTCACTAAAATTTGCAAACATACATATAACATGTTATTCGTGGAGAATGGCCGAGATTCTTCTCCTTGCACCTGGGGCTATGTGAAAAGGTCAAAGCGCTTTCTTATTTTGTTAATTGGAATAGCTAAGTCAACGGTCTTTTTCCTCCTTGTGCTTTGCTTATCTGGGTAATTGTCTCAACAGTGCAATGGACCTCGGGATACCGGCGGACAGTCCGAACCTGGTGCTGCTGTTCTTCGTGTCACAATTGTTCCTGAGGGAGCTCCACAAGTGCAAAAATCTGGTTCGCATTGTGCCGATGGATATGTCTGGATATTATGGTGAATATTGAGCGGAGAATTGGAGGAGTTCCGTTTGATTTGACATCGGAATTTCGAAATTATAGATAACATGATGTTTTTTTTACGGAAAATAGTATAAGTAGTTGATTGAGGAAATTTATTCAACTTTCAGAATTTTTTTCCAGCGAAATAATACGAAATAATGAAAATACTTTCTCTTAAAAATGTGATTCAAGTCCAAAGAACTCGGTCATCTCTCAGTATTCTCTCTGATCAAAACTCTCGCTCGTGAATCGAGGAAGGTAAAGTGCAAAAATTAGTTTCGATTTATGCCGATGGATATCGTTTGGATATTGTGCTAGATAATGAATGGAGAATTGAATCAATTTAATTTAATTTCACATTAGTGTTTTGGAAATCAGCAATAACATGAAGTTTTTTTACAAAAAATAGAATAAACAAAAATTTGAGGGAATCAATTCAACTTTTAGAAAGTTGAAAATTTTCCCCAGCGAAATAATAAAAATTAATGAAAATATTTTCCTCAAAAATGTACTTCAAGAATTCAGTCATCTCTTATTGTTCCCTCGTATCGATGTCACCTTGCGCACACGGCGAGAAATATTCAATAAAAATTACGTATTCTTTCCGTAATTCCGGCGCGAAATGTGGTTGTAGGAAATTTTGCGGAACTGTTACAGAATTTTTCCAGAGCGTTCCGTCATTTTTATCTGAATCTCCTGTGAAAAATCACTATATCGCCACTTAAATTTTCTGAGTTGATTCCGTAATCGGCGAGCGAATTGTGAGTTCCGTAATTTTTACTGAAAATTTTTCTCCGTGCATTAATTAAAATCTCCGTTAATCCAAAAGAACCAACTGCCGCTTATCACCCCGTTATTATTGCAGCGAGTAAATCTGGACCTTCAAACATTGGTAACGTTATATCATCGATTCTCCTCTGCAAGCCGATTACCCCGAATTTCAACGAGGAGGAACTCTGCAGTATACGCAAGGACTCGGCTGAGATAAGCGCTCTTGTCGCCGAACTCCAAGAATTCATGCCACAATCCGAGGCTGACATAGGTAAACTTGGACCTCATCTCAAAGGCTCTGAATAATGGATTCAGCTCCCGCGAAGCACGAACAACGCAACTGTCCCAAAATTTCACTCATGTTATTTTTAAGGAAGAGTGGGGTAAAACGGCCCCTTTTGACTTTTTTTGTGATACTCATAACTCCGAAACAAATTCATTAATTGAGATCTGTCCAGGCTCATTCTAAAGGGGAAGAAGTGTAGTTTCCATGGAAAAAGAAATTATTCAGTTTTATTCAAAATTGAATGAGCTGTTAACATTTTTGAAAAAATCAAAAGGGGCCGTTTTACCCCACTCCATTCATTTATTCATTTATTCTTTTTTCAGAGAAAACAATAGCACTGCAAGACACGTGCGTCACGGGTGCGAAGAACAATGGGGCCCGAAAGGCCAACAGATGGGACACTAGACCCGGAAATCCAAATTACTTCAGTGGACGCTTCAGATTCCTCTGCTGCACCTCAAGGCCTAACTACGTTTGAGCCTGCGAGGCGAATGTCAAAAATATGTTGTTACGGTGGAGAAAAATGAGTCATTTTCCGTAGCAGGCGATTCTCGATGGACATTATAAAACATCTATTTTTTATTTCGGAGAATAAAGAATACGAGCAATGAAGGACGTCTGCATTACGATGTCACGTCAGAAAGCTCAAATCATTGTGATGTCACGGATTTTTTAAATGCTTTTAGGATGATTAATTGATTGGAGGAAGGAAGAATTTTCGTCGATGGGGTCATCATCGAGAATTAATCATCGTTAAAGTGCTGACGATCATTCGGGTCAATCTGATGCTATCAAGCCAACATGAAAAACTTATTTCTTTGTGGAACACGATAAAAGCCAAAAAAGTTCTTCATGACAGGTCCATCATTTGCCGGATAGATCTTTTTTTTTTCATTTCCTATTGTAGTATTTCTCAACAATATCCGTTTTTGCGGGCGCTTTTTCATCAAAAAATCAATGCAAGTTGACTGGACTCACTTAATTCCACCGCTTTACCACCGAAATAAGAAGAAATGCCACTGAAAATGTCAAACTGGCCTGCGAAAATCACTTATCTTATACATATAAAAATAAAAATGTCAATGACTTGTGTCATCACGAATGAATTTCCCAGAGTCTAGGGCACTTGAATATAACTTAACGGTGATACGTAGTTAACGAATAGAGTATATTTCTTCAATGAATCCTCGAGACATTTGTTAGTGAATGTGAAGCGATGCTGAATAGAATGTTAATGGTATACGAGCATCTCGCATTGGTATTGTGAGATGTGACGTTATTGCCAGCGCCTGAAAAGCGACAAGAGCGAGTGTTGTTGATGGGAATGATATCGGTGGCAGCAGGAGGCATGTCGAGACGAATAATGCATGAATGCGTAACATGATCATCTGGGCGAAATGAAATTTCCATTTTTAAGACCATTCAGGGACCCTTCTCAGACAGGTGGAGAAAATGTAGTTAAAACTGAAGATATTACAGGATTTTTGTTCTATTCGTTATGCCAATTAGAGTATTGTTACTTCGTATTGGATGGAGTATGGAATATTATCTTCACGCGAAGAACGCATTCGATTGATTATCAAACAGATGAGTAGAAAATTGGAGAATTATTACACTTCCACAACTTGGGTCCAATGTTTACATTCGTTTATTCTTTACCACGTGTATATTGATTAACGAGTTATTTATATTTCAAGCGAACAGTTCATTGATGAGTGAGGGAAGGTGAACTAGTGATGGTATGAGCGAATTATTAGATAACGTAGCCTTAGGAAAAATTGAATTCATTCATGCGGGTCAATGTAGAGTAATTCAATGCTTCTAAACTCAGTGAAGAAAAAAAAATACAAGAAATGAAGTCAATATTACGTTAGAGCATATCGAGAATTTGAGTAATATATTGTGAAAAGGACCAATCCTTATACTATAAGGGAATTTCAGTTCGTCATCCATCAGTTCAGTACAGTGAGATGAGAGATGTAATAAATGTCCTTATATTAATTAATTAATTTGTGCACATTTTCCCGGGGTACATGAATATTGCATAAAAATCAATGGCATACAATCAAATGTCGGTGGGGGAAAGACTAATGAGTGACGTCGAGTGGTCAGAGTGGTTCCACTATTGTTCCAAGTGTCAATCATGCTTTAATCGAAGAATACGAGAAATGATATTTATGAGTAATAACAGAGATAGTTCTGGTTACCTATTTAGTGAAGAATGTGAGTAATTACTGGAAATCAGTTACGAGATTTTTGTCAAAAAGATTAATCATATGAACTTTCAAACGCATTGATGATAATTATATTTAATTAAGAAAATAAATGATGAGTTGAATTTCTACGACCTGTTCCATTCCTTATTTTTTCTTATTTTTCCATTGATTGGTGAGTTTAGGTCAGTGCTCTGGTGACTTTGTGACTCGACTCATATTGGATTTGAATTTTTAATTTTTATTTGATACCATTAGTTTACATTAATTACCGGAATTAATTTTCTTCGATGTAACGACAGAAAAGAAGAAAAAAAAATCGGGATTGACCGGGCAGAAATTTGAATTGAACTGCGCGAGAGAGACGGATATTCTGCAAACGAGGATAACGTCAGTTCCGGAAGTTCGAATGTGATGAGTAAGGTAATGAACGGTTGGTAATTCAACGGGATGTAACAGTAATGATTATTATTAATTGGTGGTAAAGGAAAATATCATAAAGATTAGTTGGTAATAAACTGATTGTGACAGATCACTACTTTTCCTGACCGGATAAAATCATGGAAGAATTGTTGACCGATGATTGAAAATCTAGAACTGAATTGTGCAGCTTAATCGATTAATATGGTATATTATCGGAAAATTGTATAAAAAATGTCTGAAACGAAAGTCGAGAGTATGAAAATTATGATTAATAGTCCAGTCATATCCCCGTACATGTTCTATAAATATGATGATGAGAAGAGAAAAATTCTATATTAAAAACCCTTTGAAACACTAGAATGGTCGTTGGTCGGAAGAATCATTGACAAGCAACCCCAAATTCGAAAACGAAAATCAAATGTGAACTTGATAATAGTAGATTTATGTAAGCGGATCTGACTTAGTGACGACGGTGCTTACTGTACCGACGGATGAGACCTGTTACTTCAACCACTGTGCCTTTATTATCAATAGTGATTTTTCCAAAGTCCGTTTGATGGCGATAGGATACATGAAAATTAAAAAAAAAATGTTATTTCCGCATTTCTGGCGCTTCCGCGTGTCTCATTAACATCTGAATCGTTAGTACATACAGAATCAACGTTCGCTTAGCGAAAAAATTCGATTTTGGCGAAAGTCGACTTTCCCCCTGGAAAACGAAAAATCTGATCCTTTGAAAAACTGAAAAAGAAAATTTTTTCAGTTTTCACTTTTTCCACATACTTTTGAAAGTTCTGAATAGCCCGTCGCGTAAATAGTTGGAATTAACATTTACCCGGCTAAAAAATTCGATTTTGGCGAAGGTCGACTTTCCCCTGGAAAACGGAAAATCTGATCCTTTGAAAATCTGAAAAAAAAAACTTTTTCAGTTTTCCTGCCTAAAGGAGGTTAGGCGGTGTTTGAGGTGAATTAGAGAGTGAATTTCTGTGGTTCCCGGTAGCTTAGTCGGTAAGAGTGCCCGGCGCGTATCTGGGAGACCCGGGTTCGATTCCCGGCTGGGTGAAGCGGAAATTTTTTCTCTCTAAATTCTAATTCTCTTAGAATTCTNGTCGACTTTCCCCTGAGAAAATCCAAGATCTGTCACTTTCGCCCCAGGTGAACAAATTTTTTTTCTACTTTTTACTTTTTCCAAATACTGTTGAGAGTTCTGGATAGCCCGTCGCGTGAAACATCGGAATCAACTTTCACTCGGTGAAAAACTTCGATTTTGGCGAAAGTCGCCTTTCCCCCTGAAAAAATCAAAGATCTGACACCCGGGCCCCGGTACCGTAAAAACCTGAAATTTCAACCAATCAGAACAATGCTCCCCGATCGATAATGCAGCGTTCGTTGATTCGCGGCTGCAATTCGTTGAAATCTAAGGTTGTCAGGGTACCCTAAACGCGCAAAATCCCAGCCCTGGCCTCAAGTCTAAACAAAATAACAGAAGATATCACCAGCTCCAGTCGACACAGCAGACAACTCCCTTAACAACCATCCAGTGAAGTCGCCCGCCTCAAGAAAATCCCACCATCAGTGGTCAGTGTTTTAAGAGCGCATTGCTAGATTCTCTCTTGAAAATTCTTCCTCTTATCTCGATAACCTTGTTTTCAACCAAAAAGGATACATACTCCGCTTTAACCATCTGTTAACTAACTTCATCTAATTTTATAACACCATTGCTGCAGATTCCACAGCCACCACGTGAATATTATGCCCCCCGAATGTTTCATTGGTGCATAATCCAGGTGAGTTTACCAAAAGTAGATCAATTGGCAAGTTACATTTGTCCAAGTTTTTTTATAGTAACAAATGAGATTAAATAACCGACATTTTCACTCTTGTCACTGCCATTTAGACGCAACCGTTGACATTTAAAATCCATTGTTCCACGATTGACTCGGTCGAAAATTGTTTAAATAATTTATTATTCATGTTCCAGGTTGATTTATTGTTCTTTTACTCATCGAAATAACGTGGGACTACTCTAGACTCGATATAACACCCTAAAAAGTCAAAATTCCCTAAATTTTATCACAAAAAACCTAAAAACTAAAAAACATTGGCTTTTAATTGACAACATTGTTATTGAAAAATGTCAGACATAAGGTCAACGACGAACAGTGCAGCAAACACCAACAATGGTGCCTGTATTGTTTGCTACAAGAATGTGGACCTCTACAGCATTGGCATGTGCGAGCATCCAGTGTGCTACGAGTGCAGCACTCGAATGCGTGTCTTGTGTAAACAGAACGAGTGCCCCATATGTCGTCAAGAACTTCCGAAGGTCGTCTTCACGAGGGAGATCAAACCATTCCGTCATATACACAGGGGTAATCTCCTGGACACTCGTTACAACATCTATTTCGAGAATCCAGAGATTCAGGAGAAATTTACAGAGCTCCTGGCTCATTCTTGCAACATCTGCGAGGAGAGACAGGTTTTTAGCAGTTTTAACAGCCTGAAGGAGCATATGAGGAGGCAACATGAGTTGCATTACTGTGATCTCTGCGTGGAAAATTTGAAGGTAATTCGAACATAGTAAAATTATTCTATTCATTGGATATTCATGTTATTGAGGGAATGATGATGAGGGGCAGATTAAGGTATATCCCTATAAAACACGTTTTTCTTAAGATTGTCCCCATATTTTTCATAGATTATTTTTATAATAGTCCCCAGCTATTGAGGAAAATACTAACTAGCTGCACTACACGACTCTCACGATGTTCTTAAGAAACTAATTCGGCATAGATTGATAAATTCCGAATGAATTCTTCCGGTGAATGTTTTTACAATTTTATAATACATGATTTCTGCAATATTCAACTCTAAAAAGTGGAAATTTCGTGAAACCATTGCTCATTTGATTAAAAAAATTAATTTACAAATAAGTTCTTATTTGATTCAAACAGTTATTGTTGCCTGCATCAACAACACATGAGCATAAAAAAACTCAATAACTCAATAATTGTCCCCACGTTTGTCATAGATAATGTTTATAATATTCCCACCGATGGAAAAAAATGCTAACTACCTGTAATCCACAGTTTAGGAGATAAATCATGAAATGTATTTTTTTTATCTACTCCACGCTATTATATCCCCAGACTTCCAAGTTTCTCCTTCTCCCCTAAAAATCCTGAAAAACAAAAAAAATCACCGCAAACTTATTCCAGATATTCTCCTGCGAGCGTCGCTGTTACTCCCGCGCAGACCTCGCCCACCACCGCCGAAAGGGTGACACAGACGACAAGAGCCACAAGGGCCACCCCCTCTGTGAATTCTGCGACCGCAGATACATGGACAACGACGAGTTATTCCGTCACTTACGACGCGACCACTTATACTGCCACTTCTGTGACGCTGACGGCCTCCACCAGTACTACAGCTCCTACGACTACCTCCGCGACCACTTCCGCCAAGAGCACTACCTCTGCGAGGAGGGTGCCTGCTCCGAGGAGAAATTCACCCCAGTCTTTCGAACGGACATAGATTTAAAAGCCCACAAGGCATCAGTGCATGGCAAGCACCTGGGTAAAGCAGCAGCCAAGCAAGCTCGAACCCTGGAGCTGGAGTTCACTTTAGCACCTCGTGGAGACCCCAGGAACTCCCGACGAGGTCCCCAGATGGGTCCTGGCTCCTCCCAGAGGGACTACGCCCCCAGGAATCGCGACTACGTGGACCAAAGGGACTTCCACGACCCCGACCCCCCCTCCTGCGACCCCGAGGCCCCCTTTATGCGTCAGCCAGACGTCCAGAGCACCGAAGAGTTCCCCTCCCTGGGGAACACTCCTCTCCCCCCGGACCCCCATCAAACCAAGTCAAAGGGTCGAGGAAACCTCACAATCAGGAACTCCTTCGTCCAGCGGCCCCTGGCAGTGACCGACGAGAACTTCCCAGCACTGGGGCCAGACTCCACCCCCAACAGTGTCTCCAAAACCGTCAATCTGAGTGTTTACTCCTCCAACAGGGCCCAGCCCTCCAGCTCCACTGGTCCCCAGCGTCCCCAGAGTTCAGCTCCAAACGTGTCGATCCAGGTGAACCACAAAACCGACGGAAGCATCACCACCAGAGTGTCTGGACCCACCGTGAGGATCAGGCCATCCACCTTCAGCAGAGACTCCGACTTCCCAGCCCTAGGGCGCAATGAGGCCACCAGCACTTCCAATTCCGCCCAGTGGACAAAGGTCACCTGTGTCAAGCCCTCGTCCTCAAGCTCCAAGAAAAAAGTAGCTCCAGCGCCTGTCCTGGATCCACCACCAGCCTCTCTCTCTACAGTCTCCTGCAGCGAGGCCTTCCCCAGTCTGCCCAAGTCCTCGAAAGCTAAGAAATCCTCGATATCAGTAGTAACGAACGACTCGTCCTCATACGCCTCCACCTGGAACCGATCCTCCGTCGTCAACGAGAACGAATCAAACTCGACGGACGCCAACAAAGTCAACACGAAGAAGAAGAAAAAGAAGAAAGTCAAGCAGACATCGAGTGGCAACAACTCCAGTGGCAACGAATCAACAGCACAAAGTGTCCAATCAGTGCGGGATAAACCGTCCGAAGTGGCCAATAGTCAGTCATCAGGACTGATGAGCGCCAGAGTGGAGTCCCAAGATCGGAAGAAGAGTGATTCGTCCCCAGAGCCTTCAGCTAATCCTAATCCACTCGAAAACGAAACAAAGGTGTCGACAAATGGAATAAGAAAGAGATCGGAATTGAAGATAGACAGTTTAAATAATACGAACAATGTGCGGAGGACTCTGGAGGATTTCCCAGCGCTGGGTAAAACATCAAAGACGAGAGCTGGAAACCCACCCCCTGGGTTTAACACAACTACCCCACCACCACCGGGCTTTGCAGTCAAACTCAACAGCACTGAGCAGCCGCGCACTGACAATGGCTTGACATTCACCAACAGCTCGGGAGAAAGTTTCTCGATTCTGCCTGATAATGGAGATAAATCCTACAGCTATGTGCCTCCCTTGGACTTTCCTCGGAGGAATAAAAATTTAGTCGCGAGGATTGGCGAGGTCCTGGAGAGCCAGAAGGAGTCCATGGAGGAGTTTAGGCATTTTAGTGGGCTTTTCAGACGGGGAACACTCAGTGGTGAGCATTATTACAAGAGATGCAGGAGTGCAATGGGCGCTGATGCATTTCGCGATGTTTTTCCGGAAATGCTTGTTCTACTGCCAGACGTTGCTAAACAAAGGGAGCTCTTTGATTTGCATAAGAAGGAAGTGGGTGGCGTTAAGACGCTGGATGTGTGCAGCACTTGTGGACAGGTTGTTAAAACTGGAAGTGATTTCAAGGCGCACTTGTCGAGTCACACATTGGACAGTCACTTTCCGGCCCTCGGGGAGGCCACTAATGTGATGGGTGGTAACACGTGCTTCAGGAGAGGAGCATGATGCATTGTTATTGATTGTTGAATCATGATTGATCGTTGCTGGGAATTAATGATTGATGATTATTCTTTGGAGGAGATAAAGGATGAGATGAGTCAATTTATGAAGGTTCAGTTTTTGATGAATATATGGGAGTTGATGGAGATGAGAAATTTCGTAGGGACCTTTTGTAGTTTTTTCCCCTTAGATTGGAAGATATTTATTGAAGACTCACCTTAAAACACAGATTGTTGATTCAACTCCTTTCACCACTTTATTCTAGTGATGAGCAGACATTATTTTTGGGACTTTTTTTCTCGTTCTCAAAGCGAATCTTTTCTTTTTATATGCGATGACGTTATCATCTCATATACAAGCTGCCTCTCATTTACAGGGAAATCATCATTGAGAACGTATTCAATTTTTTTTTTTCACTGGGTTGTATGTAAATATTTACGTTCAAGAACAAAGGATTGATTATATTTTTATTGTAAAATTAAAGAGAAGAGTTCTCAAGATTATATCTGCGTTACCTATGAGTTGATAAGTAATAGGAAAATTTTAGACGAACGTAATCAATCGCCGATGTACCATTTTGTACAATAATAAAGTTAACACAAGGATTTATATCAAAATTTTCATTGAAATTATTACAAAAAAAATGGTTATTTCCTCTCGTGATTTATTTGCAGGATATCGGATACTTTCTTTACAAATGATATGTACATGTTGGATATCTGATGAAGGACACACTCTGAAGCTTTAATCATTTGTAAAAAACCGAAGTAATACAAAAACAAACAGCAGTTTTAACTTGAGATTGATATTAATAGTTTTTGCAACTGTTATAATACTCGCAGATGCAGTAATACAGCTACATCGATTTCGCAGAATCATTTTCCTCTTTTTAACCCATAAAATATAAATTCACGATTAATAATTCAAAAGTTTAAGCAATAGTGAGAGCAGAATAAGTGAAAAACGTGGTTGGCAAACGAAACGAGTGTCTCTTAAACATTATATTAAAAAAAAACTACAATATTCAGTACCAAAACGCCATTGGATTGGACTCTACCACCATCTCATAATTGAACTCATGAAGAAAGAAATAATTAATCAATAGTAATAAACCAATGAAATAAAAGTATTAGATTTTTCATTCAGGAGATATCCACGGTACATGAATATCGGGCGATAATGACACCTCGCTCATTGGTACAATGGAAATAAAAACTCTTAATAGATGAAACTTGATCACTTTTTAGCGAGTTCGTTGCTCAACCAATCGAGTCCCTCGTAGAGTCCCTGTCCCTGGGTTGCACAAGTGCTCTGAATGTACCAGTGACGTCCACGCAATGCATTAAGGCCCAGTTTATCAGTTAATTCAGCAGCAGTCATAGCATTTGGAAGATCCTGCTTATTAGCAAAAACAAGTAGTACAGCATCCCTCAACTCGTCCTCCTTCAGCATATTAGCAAGCTCCCTCTCAGCCTCAGCAATCCTCTCTCTGTCATTGCTATCAACAACGTAGATCAATCCCTGTGTATTTTGGAAATAGTGCCTCCATAGTGGACGTATTTTGTCCTGACCACCAACGTCCCAAACAGTGAAACATATGTTCTTGTATTCAACAGTCTCAACGTTGAATCCAATAGTCGGTATTGTCGTTACTATTTCCCCCAATTTTAATTTGTACAAAATTGTCGTTTTACCGGCTGCATCGAGGCCAACCATCAGTATTCTCATCTGCTTTTTTCCAAATAGACGTGTTAACAAACTACTCACAGTCAGTCCCATTTTGCCTTGATTTAACTTAACCCGGGGGATTCAATCGTATTTATTTGGTGGATGGTTCACTTCAAGGCCTTAATTTTACGACGGGATACTGTACTTCCTAACCCACGTAGCCTTTGTATGGCGTTTATCCTTCTTTTATGGACAGTGGACACACGTAGAGTCGCTCGCACTTAGTTCAACACTGGAGTTACAGTATTTACTTACTGCGCCGCTGATTGACGAGATTATTTTGGTTCACACTTTTTTCTCGATATATTTATTCGGTAAAAAATGACGATTATTGGTCGGGCACTGAGTAACTACTCAATCGGTGCGGCGTAAACGTCACGTCTTGGTCGTCACTCATCCATTCGTCACCAACATCACCACGTATTGCACGAGGGGGGGAATGGCGTCCATGCACTAGGGGATATGTCGGTGCTGATGCGCAAGGGCTGAGGGGGGAATGATTTGGAGACAGCTTCAGGTGGCTGGTGTGAATAACTCGGTCAGTTGGCGGTCCGGGGGGGGGGATGGCGGAAGTGAGTCACGTAGTTCAAGTGTCGGCGGGCGCTTCGAATGGGAGAGTTGACTTGACCGAAGATGCGTGGTGCGAATTCTAAAACGGTTATGAACTTGGCGAATGACGTAGCAGGACCCGCAATTAGGGATTTTAGATGATTGTTACACTGTTAGAAAATAAATGACGTTTCATGGACAGTTGAGTACTAATTTTCAGGACAGCGACACTGAATGCCATTTAGGGGAAAAAATGACGAAATTTCGGAGTTGTAAAGATCACTGAAAATGCAGTAAAATTCCAGAATTTTAAGCAGCATAAAGACGAGAATTCCTTCATTTATTTGTATTTCCAATCTAATATGAATATTCAGTGCCAAATTACAGTGAATTTTCAGTGAAATCTGACATTTCATGATTTTTTCCCCCTAAAAAGCATTCAGTGTCACTGTTCTGAAAAGTGTAGAATATATTCACCGGAATTATCTGGTTTTCTATTAATTTTCAGGGAAAATGTAACTGAAATTTACAGTTCTCTTAGATTTTTCCACGAAATTCTAAATTTTCAAGGACGAAAGTTCTTGAAATCTCAGTGGTGATTAAATTCGATAAAAATTTCCGAATAAATGTACCGGAAATTTCAGACATAAATTTTTAACAACTTGGCACGATGAATCATTGTTTGAAATAAAAATTTTCAAATAAATAATAGTATACATAAATAATAGTAGGGGAGGATGGGGCAAAATGGACACAACTCAGAAACGAATTCATCAATTGCGCCCAGTCACTTTACAAGGAAAAAAAACAGATCCTGTTTCATCAACAGTTCAATGAATTATCAACGTTCAAAAAAAATGTGCAAAAAAAAAGTCTTATCGTTTGCAGCGTTGAATCTGCCGGTCGTACTGACCCGCATTGTTGGTGCGTGGCTATCGCTCGATAATGTAGGAGACCATTTCACTCCCTTACCAACGCAGTTCAACGCCTCTTTTCCGCGGGAATGCACCAGTAATTCGAACTCAGTCAATGAACATTTAACTTGTTGCGTGCGCACGTAAAATGAGTTGGTTCAACCCACCTTCACTCTTTTTTACTCAGATTAACGATTATGTCGATAGCATCTGTGACACATTGGCATGGGGTAAAATAAGGTTTATAACGGGTGATGAATGGATTAACCACAGCCGGCGGGTGACAAAAGGACAAGAAATTTTTAATCAATCACCAGGGATTTCTCATACATTTCCAAACAGATACGAATCAACTTGATCTAATTATAGTAACGAATAAAGGCTAATCAGTCCCTTCGAATTAATGACTCTTTTCAGCCGTAAAAAAAATGATTCTCGTGTGCATGTGGCGGAGGTGTGGATGATCGCGTGTTTGCGATGTGGCCTGGGATAACGAAATACTGAAAACTTATCCAAAACCCATTTCGCCTCAACGATAGATGTCTAAATATTTATAGCAACGTCTGCACAGTGTTTCATCGCGCTTGGGACGAATACTTGGGTATCTTTTTTTGTGGATTACATAGCGTGACCAGTAGTGAGATAAGCCATTTAAAATAGTTCACGCATAGTTGAATTATACGACCAACTCCATTCCACAAATTAATACTTCAAATGTTCTTTTTTTGCTAATCCGGGATAATACGGAGGTAGTCAGGCGAATGGACAATTTCGAGCTCCATTTAGCGCGCAATAATGCCCCATCAGAGGGGAGGAGAATAAAATAAACAACACAAGTAGATTGTCGCTGAGATTTTTTCCCTCCCCTCATTCAAAAATTCAATTTCAATTAAAAAAATTATTGAAAAGTCACCCCAACTGAGCTTCAATAATTAAAATTAATGCTTTACGATTAATCCACTGTGTACGGAAACTGCAGAGCATAGGATTGGCCCCAGCAAACTGGAAATAGACGCATTGACTTCGATATACCACACGCACAATGAATATCTCAGGAGCCGATTGCGCTGTATGTATCTGCCTAGCCTCGATGTATCGAGTGCACGAGCCACGAGACTCTGCATGGGATATTACCGGGAGGCTCAGGGAGAGCGCGCGGCCTCCAAAATCACACAAATCCTGCCCTCCACCCACCCCCGCCCAGCGGCGCTCTCCGCCATTTGGCTTTTATTTTTTTCCCATGTTTTTCACCCGACGTAAAGGCATGAAACGCGATAAGAGCCCAGGGTGCAAGCTGAGCCACTCATGTGACGTAAACATTTCTCTCGTGAAATTGCGATACGCAGTGATTTCACATTCAACGCTTCTCGGGCGAGAGAATAAAAAAAGACGAAGAGGAGGCAACAATTTTTCCCTTCTTTTTGTTTTGCAGGAATGAAGTGAACACACGGGGCTGGCCTCGACGCTTGGTACTCCGGAGATGGAAGTCGCCTCGGGACGCCTGGAGTTTGGGAGTAGTCGGTTACTAGAGGTGAAGAGGGGGCGCAAGGGGGTGGGCAGGGGGGAGGGAGTGGGTGAGGGTGGGTGGGTGATAAAGGGGGATATTTAACAGTGGGGGTAGCGCATGCGTTTCAACGTCTGTCACGGAGTTCGACGTTTTTTTCCAGTCGCCGGTAGACGCTGTACCGAGCACCGTCGACGCTCGTCCCCGGGACTTGTGCGGCCGGAGTTAACTGAGGACTGTTGGGTTGCGGGTCATCCACGGGATACAAGAATAAAAGGAAAATTAAGGGGGGCGAAGAAGTGAGGGAGGCAAGAGGTGACAGTGGATTGCGAGCCGAGAGAATAGAGAGGGCGGGGGGG